CCTAGTAGAACCAAATAAATGAGCAGCAGCGACAGCAGGTGATGCTACGAGCTCGGCAGCAGTTGCAACAACAGTCGGTTAACCTACAAAGAAGCCGTATGCCTTTTTCATGTACTTCAAGTTCTCTGCTGCTGATGCAAAGGCAGGCATCTGCTCGAATAAGTTGCACCGCTCAGGGTGTTGCTGCAGGGCAGCACGCCAAGCAGCGGCCGCTGCTTTCGCCGCTGCTGTCCTTTCGTCTGCCGTTGCTGCTGTCTCCGCATCGTCGTCTTCTGGCTGCTGTTGCTGTTGCGGAAGTTGCTTCTTCAGATGGTCCCTGCCCTTTCTATTGCAGCGGACAGCCGCATGAAACTCTGCAGCGGCGCCACTTAGAGCAGGAGTCCCTCGGGACCGCTCGCCTTCCGACGTCAGTGGTTGGACGGCCCCCACTGGCCCTTCCCCCTCTGCATACTGCCGTGCCAACCGCAGCAACTCAATCTTTCGTTCAAACTCGGAAATAGTTACTACGGGGAGCTGCTGGCTTCGGCGACGCATGTTGTACCTGAAGTGTACGTACACACACGCGAACAGCTGGTGCACACACAGACACACACACACTAGACATACATACCCACCCATCCACCCAACCCCCCCACACCCACACCCACACACACACAGACACACACACCGCCCCCCCCAAACATATACACGCACACCCACCTACCCACCACACCCGCGCCCCTCCGCCCACCCACCCCACCCCAGACGCCCACACGCACACACATGCAGACACACACAAACAGATGCACAGGAAGCATGAGTGCCCCCGACAAAAGCCCTGGGCTTCCTTAACTGTGCGGCAGCAGCAGCACCGCCGCACGCGACTATTCAAGACGCGGTGCAAGTTGGTGCATGGGTTCAGTATAACCTGTTGGGCTCTGCGTACAAGTGCCAAGGCGTCCTGTGGTGTTCATTAAAAGCTTGTCTGTCCTGCAGTTCACAGCCGCAGGTTCTGCAAGATAGCGGTCCCGGACCACGGGGGACCGCTATCGCGGGTCTGGGGTCCATCTTCTACCCCTAGCGCTGCACTGTGGATCCTTTGGAAAACCTTAGGCCCTTCACCCCGGAGAAGAAAAAAACTGCCAAAGCTTGGGCCCCCCCACGACCCCTTGAAATGGATCAAAACGGGGGAAAATAACAGGCGAAGAAGGGCCAGCTGGCGCTCCTGCTGCCGCTAGTGCTGACGTTGCTACTGCCTCTCTCCTTCGTCGAGCTCCTTCTACTGTGGGGTGGTCTTGACAAACTCTTCTGAAACGTCTGATATGTATTCCACTGATTGAAGCCAACGAGGAAGACGTTGAGCAAACAAAGCCCCAGCTGCTCTGGGTGCCCAAGGTGAAGGCTCCAGTTTGCATGCGCGCTGCTGTTGCTGCTGCTGCTGGTGCTCGGCTGCTGCTACTGCTGCCGTTAGCGCTACAAGAGCGCTTCTTTGAGCTACATATGCAACTTATGTCGCGCTAGGTTACTGGAAAAGGTCGGAGGATAAGCCCTGCTGCTTCCTATGGCGCAGCAGCAGCAGCTGCGGCAGCAGCAACAGGAGCGGCAGCAGCAACCCCGAAGTCTCTTAGCATAGATTGATGGCGGCACACGACTTCCCTCTCATGGTCTCCCCTGATAGAGGCTTGTCATGGCGAGCTTCAGGAGGATGCAGAAGCAGAAGCGGCTGCTGCTGCAGCACCTGCCTAACCCCAGGCAGCTGCGGCGGCAACTACAGCAACGTGCCCACCAGTATCTGGGTCTGTAGTTTCCGCGACAGAAGGGCGAATATCAGGGGCGTTGAGGATGCCGGCATATCTGTAGGAGGCGATCAGCAGCCTTATGACTCTTCCGTAGCAATACCACCAGAATCTGCTGCTGCTGCGGTTGCACTTCCTTCTACTACGGCGGCTCTTGCTGCTGTTAGACATCAAGCTACACCATCGACGCAACTCCGGCTAGGCACAATGCGCAATTCTCTCACCCGTGAAGTTGGGGACATCTGCGACAGCTGCGTTCCGTCCGGAGCGGTAGCCTGGGAAGCTGCAAACGCTGCTGCAGCACCCCCTGCAGCTGAAGCAGCCTCGGCCACAAAAGCAGCAACAATCGAGAACGCAGCACTGCGGGCCTCCAGAGGAGGGGGAGCAGGAGTAAAAGCAACAAGAGATGTTCCCGTGGGGCCGTTGCCCGCTCTGCGGTACATGCACTGCAACAACTACCACGCTAGAACCCCAATCCGCTACAGCAGCAACATGTTTAACAGCAGAAATTGTGGCAGCAGCAGGAATTACGGCAGTGGCATTTCCTGCTCTACCCGAAACATTGACAACGACAGCAACTGCGCCGGCGGCAGCAGCTGTTGCAGCAGTGGCAGCCGTAGCTGTTCCGCTACTGTGCACCGGCTGCCGGTCAGTAGAAGCACGTATGCCGCTTGCAGCAGTAATCCTGTTGCTGCTTCTGCGGCTTCTGCTGCAACAAGCCGTGAGCAGAAACTAGGCCTGCATGGCTTGAAAAAACAATCGGACGGGCGGGAGCAGCAGCTGCTGCAACAGCAACAGTTCCAGAAGCTCGAGGATGAAGAGCCCAAGATGTTGCAAATTATGCGCACCCATGCCTTTCTGCACCTTACCAGCGGAGCCGTGGCAGGTGAGGGCTCCTGAACTAGAAACCCTACATCCTAGGCTGCGCACCCCATACCCTAAACGCCAAACATTAAACCGTAGCGCCGCTGAAGTGCAGAGGAGGCGCCACCGATCGAGCGTCAAAGGGAGTTGAGTATCCGTCGTAGGGTCATATAGTCGAGGGATTAGCGCTTAGGGTTTTGCATATAAGACTTTGGATTCAGGTTTTGCGCTCTCAGGTGCTGTCTCGCGCACCGCCACTGCTCCGCTGGACCGCGTGAAGGTCATGCTGCAGTTGCAGCCTTTTTCGGTACCGCTGAGGCAAGCAGTGAGAGTTATCATGCAACAGGAGCTGTCGGGCAACGCCGCTGCGGCAGCGGCTGTTCCTACTGCTGCTGTAGCTGCTGGTGTATCAAGCAGCACCACTAATGCGTGTAACAGCAGTAACAGAAACACCAGAGACCAACGGTCTCCGCAACCCACTAGCTCGGATGGAAAAGCCCCCTCTCAGCAGCTGCACGGACAGCAGAGATTGCAAGCGGCTTTGCCGTCTGCATCGGCAATCACGAGCAGCAGCAGCAGCTGCTGCAGCAACAGCAACAGCAGCATGAGCAGCAGAGGCCACTTGCTACTGGGTGGTTGGCGCGGTTTCTTCAGAGGGAACTTGACAAATTGTTTAAAAGTTGTACCGGAGACGGCCGTCAAGTTCTACAGCTACGACATCTGCAAGCATGCGTTAGCCCACAGAAAACAGCAGCAGCAACAACAGCAGTCACAGCAAGAGCACCAAACGGAGCCNGCAGAGGTTCACTTGCAGCTTTTGGACAGATTCCTTTGTGGAGCAACGGCGGGTCTGTGTGCGCAGCTCCTCATTTACCCAATGGAGCTCGTAAGCATCACACCATACAGTGTGAACATTTGTAGGTTGCTGCGATGGCACGAGGTTTTGTGAGTGCTGCGGGCGCAGAGCTTAGGAATTGCGCTTTATGCTCCGTTTTTTTGTGCTTCTTGTTCTTGTAGGTGAAGACCCGCTTGGCAGCTTATGGCCCGGGGTGTATGTACACCGGCGTGCTGCAGTGTTTTAAAGCGATCTACAAAGAGGGTGGCTTTAGGCGGCTCTACAGGGGTGTGGGGCCATCTTTGCTGGGCATCATTCCGTATGCAGGAATTGACTTGGCCGTCTTCGAGACCTTAAAGGAAGCCTATGTGAAAGGAGTGATTATTCCTAAACAGCAGCAGCAGGTAGAGCAGCAGCAGCTGCTGCTGCGCGCAACATGCAGCAACTGTAGCCCCGAGACCTCCCCCCCTGGTATGGTCTCCTTTGCGCCTGGTACAGCAGCTGCTGCAGGAACAGCTGCACCCGCATCGGGGGTGTCGCGAGTCCGCTGTCGCTGCGATGAGAGCAGCAGCACCAACAGTGGACTGCCTCCCGCATCGCCTCCAGCTGCGGTGCTGCTGTTGATGGGCGGCTGCAGCAGCCTCATTGGGCAGGTCCTGGCATACCCAACAGCGCTGGTGAGGACGCGCATGCAGGTGGACGGGAGCGGTGGTAAGCCGTTGCTGTACCGCAGTAGCGCAGCAGCGGCGGCGGCAGCCGTCCGCCAAGGGGGGTTCCGGGGCCTCTACAGAGGACTTCAGGCAAACTGTTGCAAGGCCCTCCCGGCTGTCTCGCTTTCTTGGATTGTCTATGAGAAGATGAAATACGCTATAAGCAACTTTGAGAGGGACTGGACACAAAGGGTGGAGCAGCAGCGACTCGCCGCACGCAACAGACCTTGACGCAGGCGCAGCAGCTGCCGCTGCCAACAGCTGCAGCAGCTGCTGCTGCGACAAGCCCTCCCGAAGGAGCTGCTGCAACGGCTGCTACAGCAGCTGTGGAGTTGCGGAGGTGCTGGCTCTCCCAGGCAGGACCCCGCAAATATGAGAAGGCGCATTCCTGCAGCAGCAGCAAGTGCTGCTGCTGCTGCAGCGTGAGCAGCAGCTGCTGCTGCACTTGCTGCAGCTGTTTTATGGTTGCTGCTGCTCTCTAGCAGACATTTTGTCCCTGTTGACTCGTGGCACTAAGAGGCGTACTTACTGCGTCTTCTGGCAGCGCAGTAGCTAAATGTAGCAGCGCGTGCACCCACAGCACTACCTACAACACACTGCCGCCGCCGTAGCAGCAACAGTCTTATTGAGCCGTGCTGCAACTCTACGGAAAACTTGGGCATTATCGACGCACGCTGCCGTCGGCTAGCCCCGTAGCCTCTGTATATGTCCAGCACAACGTAGTGCAGCCACACAGCATGCACGTCAGCAGCAGGAGCTGCAGTGCTTGGAACAGCAAAGTGTGGGAAGTACTGGACGATCCGAAGTGTTGGTGGCTTCTAGGGAAGCCTAAGAAAAAAGTGCTACTAAGTGCAGTCAGTCTGCTGCTGGTCCTCGCGTTGCTGCGCCTTCTGCAACAACGCGCCAGTGGGAGGAGGTCTCATATGAGTGAGGGACAGATTACTGATGTGATGTGCTACAGCTGCAGCAACCGCAGCAACAGCTGCTGCTGCTGTACTCGCCGCCGGCGATACTGCAGCCGCTGCTCCGTCTCCTCCTGCTGCAGCAGGAGCTGCAGCTTTTGTCTCCCTGCTGCAACAGCTACTGCGAATACCCTGACACGGACAAATTAGCCACAGCAACAGTGTGTGTTGCAGCAGCATCAGCAGCACGACGTGCTGCTGTTGTGTGCCACTGCAGTTTGCTGCAGCAGTAGCAGCGACAATGACGGGGCGCTCATGCTTTCTTGCTGCTCTTGGACTTCTTTGCTGGCGTCTTTTTAGTGGATTGTTTCTTTAAGGCCTTTTTGGCAACCTTTGCCTTTGCCGGCTTCGTCTGTTTCTTGCTGATGGTCTTTTTCACCTTGGGTGCTGCTGCTGCTGCTGCTGGAGCAGCAGATGCAGCACGCGATGTCTTCCTGCCGACGGTAGTGCTGCCCTTTACTGTAGCAACCTTAGAGGACTTCTTTGTCGGGGAATTTTTGGGGGCCTTCCGGGCAGGCTTCACACTGGGGCGGGCTGGAGCCATTTTGCTGCTGCAGTTGCTGCTGCCGTTGCTGCTGCAGATGCTGCTGTGAGAGGTGGCCTGTCCTGTGCGTCTGGTGCCTGCTGCGGCTGCAGCAACACCAAGAGAGAAAGAGACAAGAAATAACAGAGACAGCAATGAGCTATAAAACGTACTTTTGTTTGTGATGACCTGACATCGTTGTCTGGGTCGTGGTCAGGGGTGCCGCCGCTGTGCTGCTGCTGCTGCTGCTGCTGCCTGCCCCGCTGCAGCAGCAGCAGCACTGACAGTTAGCTGCTGCAATGTCTGGCTAGCTGCTCTAGGGCTTCCTACCTGCATTAAAACAAAAATGTGTGTGTTTAGAAGTGTGTGTTTCCCTTCTGTGGCAGTAGCAGCCAATACACTCCGGGCTGGCTCCCCTCCTATCTCGCTCCCGCAACACACGGCCACTCGTCGCCCCAGCGGTCTCCAGGCCTGACCCTGTACCATATCTCTGTATTTCTGCTGTCTTTCATCTTTGCTGCTTCGGATCCTCCTACTTTGTTTAATATTGACATGTTTCGACTAAATAGTAAGCAGATCTAGCCGCCGTGGGAGGCTGACCTCTCCAAGACACCCAACTCGCGTAGGCAATTGCAATTAACACAACGGCCTATTGAAAATGCGGCACCTGAAACAGCTAGATGAGCTTAGCATGCTTCTATAATTGATTTAATGGCATTNAATATGGGGGCACTGGCAAACATTGCGTTGCCGCCCGGCCATCTGCAGTGCAATAGGGCCGCCGGGGGCTGGGGTGTAGGTTGTCCTGTCTTGAAGCTGCTACGTATATTCCTAGTTGCGTGAATGTTGGTTACTGAGAGCCACGTAAATATTTGAAAATTACCTGGGGGCAGTGCGTGCATCAGAAGCGGGCTTGTGAACGCTTGCAATGTGGGGTTGACGGAACGGGAAGAGTTGCAGCAGGATACGTTGCAACAGATGGCATACCAACTCCTCTCCACACTAGCTCCTAGGCTCTTGGGCCATTGTGCTCAGTATGCTGGGGGACTCAGTTGATCTCAGCTTCCTTTTTGTAACTCTTATCTCGAGTACGTTGAGTTTGTTACAGTTTACAACTGTCCTCTGCCGATGTCGAGGTCTATCGTTACATTAGGGTTTCTACCAGCTCGCCCGCAGGGTTGTTCGTCCTGCCCGCAGGCACCCAAAGCAACTATTTGTAGGCGTGTCTTGCTGGAGAGGAGGGATATTTCCCTCTTGTGGCCTTGTGGGAGTTGCAGTGCGGGAGGCGTGGGTGTACACCCACGACCACCAGGATGCCAGACGTTCAGCTATATATGTTGAACTGAGAACGACTCACCTCCTTCCTATTGGTTACTGGTGTCGCCCTTTCAACACTAGCTCTTGGTCGTGGTTGCCGAAACTGTTGTACATAGGCATTCACAGCATCTCGAAACGTGCGCGTTGAGGTAGAGGAACAATTTCTGTTGTATCTCCACCTAGGAGACGCATTTATTATGCTGACTTTGTTAAGCGTCTAAGCCTCGTTTTTCCCAGGGCCGCGATGGATGAGCGCCGCTGAGTGCAGCCAGCAGTTAGCCGCTCTTACAGTGCACCCAATACGTCAAGATGCCCACAAGACCTTCTAAACGGGGGCGGATGAAGCCATGTCAGAGCAGAATTCGCGTTCATTTGTCTCTTAGAACTTCAAATATACTGTAATGATAGTCATCGGCCCTAGTCGAAGCTGTTTGTGAGCTACCTTAGAGTCAAAATAAGTGAGGCAAGTGCACCCTAGAAGCATCCTAAGTTCCCCCCAGTCTCCAAGTGCCCTGGGCACAGCAGTGCCAAGGCCGGTGGCTCCAGAGGGGAGGAGCATGTTTGTCATCAGTTGCAGCANGCCCTGGGCACAGCAGTGCCAAGGCCGGTGGCTCCAGAGGGGAGGAGCATGTTTGTCATCAGTTGCAGCACTCGTTGCTGCAGCGCCTGCTGCAAGGCAACCAGGTGCAAGTGCAAGCATGCAGAAGCCTCACTTGATTCATGCTCCAACACCGTTGACGATTGCCAAACGCCTACTTGGGCGTCAGTAGCCAAGATGTACAAAAATACATGGACCAACTCCAGGCAGAGAATGGTGCGTTGGGCCCCACTCGTCCTCTAAACAGGAGGCGCCCCTATGCGCTTTTGCGCCCAACAAATGATAGGTGCCAACGGGGAGAGGGGAGAGACTGCAAGACGTGCATTCGCCGCGAACAGAGAAAAGGAGGAAAATGATGACAGGGCAAGAATACGGACAGCATCACCCTTTGCTGCATAATTGTGGGCGCTGTTGCTCTCGACCCCTACCTTGTGCGACTGCCCTGCGCAGCTGCATGGGCACTGGTGAAGGAAGGCCGTCCTTGCCTTGCGCTGGGATCCGCTTTTCAAGGGGAACATCATAACCTGATAACATCTAGGCGGTCAACTGCAGCCGGTGCACATTTAAGTGAAGAGTGCTTCGGCCAGCTCCAGAAGGGGACCCAGCCCGAAAGCATGAAAAGGCGTTCTGTCTTCAGTGGCGCCGGTCTATCCATAGGCAGAGGATGGGGCTCAGGTTTTAGCGGAAAATCGTTTAGCTCCGAAGCCCGCTTCCAACTAAAGACGTGAGAAAGAGATGAGTCCGTGTATACGTGACAGAGCAAGCCTCTGAAAAAAGGGCGAACGCAACTCAGCTTTATGCTGCTTTGTTCATGCCCGTGCTTGTACTCGTCTCCACTGAGTCGGGGAGGAGATGCAGATGCTCCTGAACAACTACTTCGGAAAAGCGACCCGGTAAAACCCACTGAGATCGTCGGCTGTGAGCCAATTCACGTGATACTCTTGCTTTCTTTGCGCTGTGCGTATTTTTTTCGGATGTCTAGGGTCCCTCTCTCATCCATTGCTAGTTCCCAGCAATGCCGTCGGTGCTGTTTTGTTAGGAGAGCTCGAAGGAATGGCTGTTATGCTCAATTGTTCTTTAGAAGTTGGGCTTACTGGTGTTCTGACATCTCCTATTCAGGGGTAAATCTGCAGTGTAAGCCAGCGCATTGACCCGAAAACGGCCAGCAAGTGGCCCTTACCGACTCACGCCGAACTTCTTCGGCTACACGCATCCTTGCGCTCTTCGCAGCTCGCGGGAAGCCATTGAACAACATAGCACAAAATCCCGGGGGGTAACATTAACGTTTGGACGTCGTTTGTCGTACTTGCTTGCCTGGCTTCCGTGCGCTGTCCCGAGCTGTTACAAGTTGAATATGGAAGCCTGCAGCTGCAGTAGCCTGCGCCGTCGCCAATCTGAGGATATGCATTTACTGCGTCGCATGCCGGGAAGCTTCCATACTTCGCTTGTGCTCCGGCAAAGTGGGGCTGTTGCATAGAGTTTGCCACCGTTGCCGTGCCTCCCCTTCTCGTAAGGAAGATGTCAATAGTTGCTGCGGCTCTTCGGGCAGATTTTGAAGACAAATAAATCCACATTCAGAGAAGCAAGGAAATATTCCAGTGTTTCCGTCATCTTCGGACGCTTGGCGAAGCCTGAGACATTCTCCAAGCATTGCTTGCGCAGTATTCATATTTTCGTGCCGCAGATGCTGCGGAAGCTGCAATCGCTCCAATACGACACGTTACTTAGCGGCTNATTCATATTTTCGTGCCGCAGATGCTGCGGAAGCTGCAATCGCTCCAATACGACACGTTACTTAGCGGCTTCCATCCGCATGTCCTGATCAATACCCGCTTTTTGAGTGAAGCACCTAGCACGAATTGGCGCTCTGCCTTCTTTCTGGCAGAGCGCCTTCAGGAACCCATCCCAACTGCATCGCAATATATTTATCTTTTGTTTCTGTGTCTGGTGCCCTACTGACTGCGCCCTGTTGAGTCTCCAGTGTCTGCCGTCTGTGGAGTCGTCTACTGTGACGCGGGAACAAGAGTAAAAGCAAACAATATAAGCAAACAAATCAAGTCGTTTGCACTCATGTACTGCTTGGAAACCATATTGCTTGTACCACGGTTATATCTGCAACGTAAGGCCTACAGGCATGCCGCGCCCCAGAACTCTCTATCGTTTGGCGGCCTATATACAAACCAAGACTTTGTGAAAGAGGCGAAACGTGTTGCCTTTCCTGCTCTTCAGATCTTATCTGTGATGGGCTTCCACTGCTCCACGAGCTGTTTGCACTTGCTGTGTGGGGGCGTTCTGATTGTTTCCCTCTCGAGGGGACGGGGGACCTCCNCTTTGGACCCCGCTTTCCACGGCGCTTACCTTTGGCTGCAGCAGTGCACTGTCCCTTCCCGATCACAGGAAGCAACACGTGCAGCTGTTGCTGCTGTTGCTGCCTCCGCATCGCCGTTTGCTTTCCCACTTTTGCTGCAACGTGTAAAAGCAACCAAGCTTGCGCGTGCTCTTCCTCTCATGATTCGTGCTCGCACGGAATGACAGGGACTGCGCTGCTTTTATCTGTTGGTACGGCTACTCCTGCTCCAGCTACTACTGCAATGCAGGCACCGACCTCCAACGTATTCAGCAGTGTGCGGTTGCTGCGGCTGCAGCTGCTGCTGCTGCTGCTGCTACTGTCGTTGATGCTGCTACTGCTGCTGTTGTTACTATTGCCACAGTTACTACTGCTGCTAATACTCCTGCCGCCGTTGTTGAAGTCAGCAGGACTCTAGGCAAAATGTATGCACCTTGGCTACTGGGACTCTCAGGATGGCTCAAATATACTGCATCCTCAGCTCATTGACAAAAAGGAAAGGAAACCGATTCGTCCGTGTGGTTTTGCTTGAATAGCGCAGTGCCAAAGACTCAGCAGGAACGCTGCCCGCTACAGCAGCGACTTCGGTCCTACGGGCAGCAGAGCTGCTGCTGCTCACCAGGCACATAATCGCTTGCAGATAATTAAAAGCACTCCTCCCCCTCCAGCCGTTGTGCCTACGCCTCCAATTTTGCAACATACCGAGCGCCAAGGTAGGCGGAGCAATGCATGCTGCTGCTGCAGCGCCACTTTACTGCAGCACAATGAATTAATTAGCTGCCTCAAGAAATTCGCAGATCTGTTTCTGTTCCTAACAGACGGCAGCAACGGCAGCTGCTGCAGACGATGTTAGGAGTAGCAACATGGGCTTGCAGCCACCACGGAGCCCCTCGCTCTGACAGCTCAGGGTGTTGGAACGTTTTTGCTTCTAGTGTATGGCTACGACGACCGGTTACCACGTCGTCTGGTATTGCCGCTACGGAAACTGCTCCCGGTGCTGCTGCAGCCGATGGAGCTTGAGGCGCTGTTCATGCTGCTGCGATGCTTTAGGAGCTGCTGGTGTTGCAGTCGTTGAGGTTGCGATTGTTGCAGCCCCTGCTGCCTCTGCTGCTGCCGCGGTTGGGCCATGCGGTATGCAGACGCGAGGACTTTCCCTAGTACCTGCTGTGGCCCTGTGGTTGTGCTGTTGCTGTTGCTGCTACTGCTACTATTGGTCCGTGTTGTTGCCTTCTGAACGTATCCAGCATTTCCGCGGCTGGTGCGCTGGCGGAGCGCAGCTGTAGGTGGGATTCGCCTTTGCCGCTGCACCGGTTGCTGTTGCTGCTGTTGCTGCACCGTCAAAGTCTTTGTTGAGCCTTTTGCAGTGTCTTGCTTAGTGAGGCCGCTCGGCTGACTCTTCATTCCGCGTGCCGCAGAAGCAGCACCAGAGACAGGTGCTGGTTCCGCTGCGGCAGCATTTGTTAGTACCGGTGCCACCTGAGTAGCTGAATGTTCGCCACCCGTACCAGCTGGCGAAGCCGCATCATGCATTTGCTCCTGCTCAGAATGCGCCTGCGGAACATCAGCGCGAGCAGCAGCTTCTGCTGCGGGTGGAGTTGATGCTGCTGCGTCGAGATTGCACGCAGTACCAGCAGCAGCGCGAGCCTTGGGATCTGCGAGCAGAAGCTGTTGCAGCAGCGTGTCGGTGACGAAGCCACCGCAGTAGAACAGGACCCGCTCCCAGAGCCAAGGAGACGGCAGCTCTGTCAGCCAGCCCTGAAGCACCAGGCAGTGGTAGTCGGAGACAAACTTAAGTGCACCGTAGCAAAGGAGACAAGTCGAGAGGGCAAAATCCACCAACACGAAAAAAAAGCTTGCACAGTCCAAAGAACCCAAGTTTGGAAAACGGAACGCAAATCATGGAAGGCTACGACAGGAAGACACTTCGCGCGGACCCCACGCATTCGAAGGGAAACAGAGGAAGGTCGAATTGCAACTAACAAGAAAACACCCGGCAAGTCTCCAGATAGGCTAAGTTCCAACCCACACAACTTAGCTGCATGCAAGGAGCAGTTACTTTGTTGTTCTGTTACTGCTTGCATGTACCCCTGTCGAGGCAAGAAAGCAAATGATAAAGATACTCACGGGTTCAAATAGCCCGCGCTCCGTGGCATATCGAAAGATGCGTGCAAGCAGACATGCGAAGCCCAAGCCATGATTCATGTACCTGCAAACAGCGGCGGCAGCAGCAGATGGCCTCTGCAGCACCGAGCAGGAGACGGGATAGACGACGAAGCAGCATCTAGAGCGGCGCTGGCAGCAGTGCCGCTAGTGGCAAGAGCATTGGCAATAGCAACAACTGCAGCACGTAGGAGTAAATGTGACGTATAGAATGAGGCACCACGTCTGGAAAAGGTCAGGGAGGCACGCGAGCACACAACGAAATAGAGAATGGCAGCCTTCATAGCAGAGTGGGTGTCCATGCAACTTACCGAAGATGTGCCAATTCGTGAAAGAAGATACCCAACTGCGTCGGCAGCTGCAGCAACTGCTGAGGCCTCTGCAATTGTCGCATTCGAATACGGATACAGTAGGACCACTTGGTGCTGCTACTGCTGCTGTTTGCTGCTTCCGTTGCGGGGCCCCCTTGGGGTTCGGTGTTGCTGCGATTCCTACTGCGGCCCTGGAGCTGCAGCTCGTCGAGTCGTTCTTTGCTGCACACACACCGGCTCGTAGCCAGTCACTTCCCTTCTTAAGATGAAAGCAGCACAGTTCATGTGTTTGGTATTTGCTGTCTCAGCCTGATTGCATTCAACAGTTGCAGTCGGGAGCAGCAGCAACAGAAGCAGCAGAAGGCTTGAGTGACAGCAGGCGAGCAAAGGCAAGCACAGGGACAGGCATGACTTGCATGTTGTTTAGGGGTTTCCGAATGACTGAACCCGCCTTGCGGTGCAGCGGATGCTGTTCTGCCAAGAAGAAATAGCTGCAGTTGCCAGAACAATCAAGCGCAGACGATCGAACACACGTCTTCCTGCTTCGCCTCTCAGTCAATGATCGCGGGCTAAGACATGCCGGACTCAAGACGGAGACAAACACAGAGGCGAAGACACAAGCGAGGAAGAAACAGATAGAAAACATGAAGGACACAATAAAGTAATTTCCCATGGGTGAAAAGAGGAGGCAGAACGGAGAAAAAAACACCATAGTCCTAAATCCCTAGCTTTAAACTCTCATCCCTAAACATTACAGCCGACGGCGATAACCCTAATCGACGGGTGCTGCATCAAGAAGATGAACTCTTGACCCGAAGCCCACAGCCTTGCGTGCAATAGAAATGACGCTAGCCATCTGCGCCTTAATAGCTAAGCGCTTTACGTTGAACAGTAGACCCTAAACATTTTTCTTCGCGGCCTAAACCCCCACTGCAAACTTAAAACCCTCAGGACTCACCGAAAGCCAAACTCCCTGCATAGAGGAACTCCGTATTCGCAGTGCAGTCTATGAATTGAGGCAGCAACTTCTCCTCTGTTCTTTAGCTCCACTGTAACCCCATTGACCTGCGCATACCCGTAAACTCTAAACCCTAAAACCTACACCCTATAGCCTATACCCTAAAGCATAAAACATGAACCGTAGATCGTATGGTATGTGCGCAGGCAGCTCGCCACCCAGAGACATAAGCCGTTGCTAGTCCGCTAATGCTTCTGCAACGAAAAACGTTAATGCCAATGCCAATACCCTAACTGCAAACCCTGACCCCTTGACCCTACACCCTAGGCCCTTGCCTTTGCGGATTTGAAGGTGTAGTAAGACCCTTCATCTAGTCGGCACTTCCTCGCAGCTTTCTCTGCTGAGCAGGTACACCCCAGACATGAACGGAAATAAAAGTAGCGGAGGGGACATAAAGAGATGAAATCCAGAGTGGGTAGGAGGGAGCAATCGCGCAGTTGATGCGACTAAGGTATGTACTGGAAGATATAGAAACCTAAACAGCACTTCAAATGCCCTGCTGTGCTCTGCTTGTGAGGACACTCCCTATATTTGCCTCGTCCCCTTGTATCGCTAGACCCTAACCTTTCTGGCTGTGACCCCCCACCCCATCGCTGGACAATGCAAATGCATGCGGACGTACGGAGCGGCCGAGCGGACCGTGCAGCCAAGAAGTTAACGGATCGCCGTTGCTGCTGCGGGGCTTTTAGCCCTTGCTGCAGCCTTTCTTGCTGCTGCCGTTGCAGTTGCCTCTCCTGCAGTCGAGCTCGAGCCAAGCGAACCTCCTCTGGGGCCCCCCTCATCGCCCTCGCAGCTGCGGCAAGTATTTCAGGCGGCAGGTCCTCCGCGTAGCTCTTTTTGCTGTTGTTGCTGCTGGTGATGCCAACTAGGTACTCTGCAGCGGTAACAGAGAGGCCATACGGCCCTACTGCCGCTGTAGGAGTGGGTTGCAACGGTGAAGCTGCACTAGTAGCATAAGTAATGAAGCTGTCTGGATAATCATCCGGTTGTTCGTGATGCTGTTGGGTTTCTTGATGCAGCTGCCCTTCCTGTTGCTGATGCTGCTGCTCTTTGTCCTCTCGCTGATCCCATGTGGTCTCGAAGCAAGGCGCCGAAGGTTCTGAAGTTGGCGTGCAGGAAGTTGTAACAGGCACTGACTGTTGCTGCACTTGACTCCTGCTAATGCGGCTGCTGTTGCTGGTTTTGCTCCCGCTTGCGCTTATCATGTAAAGATTCCCTGCGGAGGGCAGGGAGTATCGGCTCCCACTCGGGGGTGGAAATGATCGTAGGCGGTGCTGCTGCGTGCTGCTGCTGCTGTTGCTGGCTGTCAAGGACGCCCTGCTAGACAGCCGCGACCCGGATATCCCAAGCTCGAGGCTACTGCCACTCTTGCAGTTGCTGATTGTGTTACTGGAAGCCAGGGTACTTCTACTGGTCAGGGCAGCCTTCCTGCTGTGGGCCTTTAACGCACGGTGCCCGCGCAGCAACTGCTGTTGCTGCTGCTGCTGGACATGGGGTCCCCAGCTCCATCGTAGGTGCCAGTGGCTTCCTAAAGAGGAAACGAAGCGTTTGAGCAGGGGAGAAGGCCCTCCAACCGGGGGCTCCTCCGTTTGAGCCCCAACAGGCAGAAGAGGCGGTTCCTCGGGCATGAGGTCAGAGGCACTAAAGGCGTTGCGGAGGTGTCTGTGACATACTGTGGTATATGCACACTTCAGACAATGGTGTGCCAATAAGCCGGCTGGGAGTTGCGATAGGAAAGCGAAGAAAAAGCCAACACGAGGCTGACCGCGCAACAAGGCAACGTATGGAGTTTGCGACGGTCAGCAATGGTGTCTAGGCTTCAAATTTTAGGCGTTAGTAGAGTTAACAATTTAGAGTTTCAGAGATGTTGGTCGAGGCGTTGAGCTTACAGGGGCCGTCGAGTGCAAGGGCCCTGGTGCTGCAAGCCTGAAAGCTAAAATCTAAAAATTATACCCCCACCAGGTGTGTAGCATGCATACACCCTGTACACGTGGGCCTCCCGGAACAAGAAGAAGGTAAGGAACAGAAGAAAGAACGTATGGTCGATGAATTGTCTTGAACTATGAGGAGGCTAACAGGAACCACTGTGTCGAGGGTCACTCAGTCTCTGCGTGACTGGAAGAATCGCATGGGTGGCGAGGTGCCCAAGCGTGGGAAAAGGACAAAATAATTCAAACGAAAAGAAAACAAACTAAAAAATTAGCTGAATAGAGGCCGTCATGCGCAACAGCAGCAGCAGCAGCAAAACCAGCAAGACTCTGGCTAGCTGCGAGGTCCTCTTCCGAGCATCGAAAGCACGGGCTGTCTGCTGGGATGACCTGAAATTAGGGTGTACAGGCAGCAAGGCACAACAGATGGAACTTATCAGAGACGGATGCAGGGGAAAAGGAAACAAATAACAAGCCCCATAGTAAAAGGCGGGAGTTCGGCGAGTCCCGGCCGGCACGCGAAGAAGAATGGATGCCTGAGCGAAGACAGGGAAAGCAGCAGCAGCAGCTTCTGCTGCTGCTAACCATATCAAATGTCTTTTTATGCAATAAAAAGTGGAAACACGCGAGTCCGATGGCGCTTGCGCCGCACATTAGCGTGAACAGCCGGGATCGTCGATTTCTCTACGCCACTGGATCCCCACGGGACCCCGTGGGGCCACTTGGGGCCCCAGGGAGGCACGGAATGCCCCTCTAATCATTTAAGCGCCGGAAGGCACGCGGCGTATGTCTAAGGGGTTACAATTGTCTTTTCATGGAAAACGGCACTCACCTTCTGCCCCAGTCGATGACGGGAGCACGGGTTGTTAAGACCACGCAACGAGACTTGTCGCTATTTGCTGAGGACCTTCTCCAGCTGCTATAGAGTCAACAGATGCTCCCTACGAGGCAGCTAAAATCCCCTCCACTTTCCAAGGGCCCTGGGCACAGCAGTGCCAAGGCCGGTGGCTCCAGAGGGGAGGAGCATGTTTGTCATCAGTTGCAGCA